ATATATATATATATATATATATATATATATATATATATATATATATATATTTCTGGTTACGTGCATCGTATCTTTCTTTCCCGTATATTTGAAGACTAAAGCAATAAGAATGTTCAGAATTAGCTGTCTGTTCGATACGTTTAATAGAAAAATTTGACAGAAATTTAATACAAATATTCGAAACAACAGAGGCGAGTGGTTGAACTTGTCGGCTGTTCTCTAGACGGTCCTTTGTGTCCTGTTTCAGCTTATCATGGGCCATCGGTCCCTGGACCAGCTGCTATCAACTATCTAGGAGCAGGTGCTGCCGTAGCGAGAAGTCCGTATTATGGAACTCAGTCTTACGCGAATTACCAGCCTCAACATTATCGACCCCAGCATCTGATAGGAAACTACTGATCCTCATGGATCGGTCGGCCGACATTGTCCGGATAGCCTGTACATACTCTAGATGAATAAATTGTTTTTTTTTCCTTTTCTACGCGAATTACCAGTGCATTATTTTTTACTATTGCCGACATTTGTACGCCTCTCTTTTTTTTATTATCGGATAATTGTGATATATAAAGACTGCTGAGAAAAAGATTCAAGTGGAAGGATGAATCGTCGACTCCTTGTCCTTCTTTGATCCTTTCCGCGTGTCGAATTTATTGTCTCATTTTGTTCGATGACTATTTCACTAAAATAAATTGTATTGCACGAAATGCTTCGATTTCATGATTTTTGTTTTATTATACGCGCGCGAGTAATATTATTAGAAATTTTACTCGCGCACAAATCGGCGATCGCGACGTATAACACGGCGATTAAAGCTTTTAATTTGTAATTATGCGCAACGTGAAATGGTTGATTAAGCTGAAAATTGAATGTTACTCACGCCGCAGTGCGTCCTTTAACTCTACATCACGCGTAATTTAATTTGCGCATTGCATTAAAGATGTTCTCTCGCCCACACTGTATCCGTGGCAATATTAATTCAGAGCTGCAGGCGCGCGCATCGAATGCACGCTAACGTTAAACCAATTAGTTCTTTTTAATCGATTAATTATTTTTATCAAATTAATTAATCAACTCAGTTGTCGTTCTGCCAGAAAGTTCACCTTCACCATTTCCCCCTTCCGTTAAATCAACAGCAAAATTAGTTATTATTTATACGAGTACGAAATAATCGATTCGAAATATCCGAATCTATTGCAGACCCGCGCGGGAAGAAGAAAATGACGAATGTTCGCGAAAAGACCGCAGCGCGGGATTTCTCGCGAAAGAAATCGCGTCGATCGCGACGTGACGAAATCCGCTTGTGTCTTAATTCTGATAAAAATCAGAGGAGGGCAAATAGAACGCGATCGGGTCGTCGTGAGACTCCGCGATTAAGAAAGCTTTGCGTTTTGCGGCGCGCTGCTGCGAGACAGTATCTTGTAACGATCGTCTCGTACGATTGCGGTCGATGCGCACGCAATTTTGCGCAAGGCGAGTCGCGGCGAGAAAAAGGAAACGCTGTAGGCGATTGCACGGCGGGCAGACAGTGCTCGTTGTACAATTCGCGAGTTATTCACATGGACACAAATAAAAAGAGATCGATTGCGAAATACATAAATATACAATATTTTCTTGTTATACGCGCGCGAAGTTTCTCGCGAGTGTCGCGCGACAGGAAGCGCCGTGTAACCAAGCGCGATCGGCATCTGGGAACCGAGCAGTATCATGTAAAATTCTATCGAAACACAATCATCTCGCGTTACAGTTGTGGATCTTGCCACATAGGTCACCGGAGTGCGAGAGACGTGAGAAGAGACGTATGAGAAAGAGAGAGCGGGATAATGGCTTCGCGCGCGCGTTCCCCGCGCGAGAGAACGAACTCGAGCATCGTGATTCGACATACCTCGCCGGAGAGAAAAGGTCAGGAATCGTAACTCGTTTGTAATGCGAGGTGCGCGCGCGAGCGCCGCGCTATCCGCGTATCGATAAAATAGCGGGGAGATTAAAGGAACCTCCTCCTTTGCCCAGGAGGCTCAAATCACACACACGGGTCAACCCCGCCATTTAGCGGATTAGAGAACCGAGAAGACTCTCTCTCTCTCTCTCTCTCTCTCTCTCTCTCTCTCTCTCTCTCTCTCTCT